GGTACAACAGTCCAGTACGCTAACCGTTACACCACCGCCGCCGCTGTAAGCTGTCGAAAAGGGTTCCGGACTATAATACAAAAGTTAACTCTAAAAGGAAGCTAACTCTAAAATGAATTGTCAATTATCCAATTTTATTGTGGACATAATATTTGAAAAGATGTAGATGAAGGAGACGAAATATAAAAGGCTAAAAATTGACTTAAATTCTTTTTATTGGGATTTATTTGTAAATTGGCATTAAATATTAGAAGTATCAAACAAGCATGTAAGTAACAATTTTAAAGTAATATAATAAAAAATAAAATAAAAAAGAAACTAAATTCTCATTAATCACGAAAATCTGGAGAATAGAGTGTACCTTTTCCATTCCCTTTTTGCTAGGTAAGAACAACGTAGATGTTATCTCAGATTGCTATACTCGTAGTCACTGACATTTAGAATGATTTCTTTAAGCATTGTGAATTATGAGGATGGTATCCTAATGTCATATAATGCAATTGATATACTACATTAAAAACATCATTAACATTAAAAACGACTTTAATAAATTTATTCAAAATAGAGTGAAGCAAGAAGTATATACACAGCGTGTTGCTATATGCACATTTTAACAAATTTCAAAATACAATGATTTTCTTTTTTCAGGGAAACTACTCTCTGAAAAAATTTGGATCGTGTTTGCGCAGCAGTCGATTCCCAGTAATGTGGTATGGAAAATACCGAGTGAAGAAAATTCTGATACGGAACCAAGAACGAGTTGGGTGCTATTGCACAGAAGGCACTATTGATCCTAAATAAGTATCGTTCACCAAGGAGTTGTAATTGGTCAGTGAACTTTTAGTCACTTTTCACTGTGACTAAAAATAGAACGCAGAAGTACTTGGAAATTTATTACATGGTATATCATACACGTATTTTTTTATTTTCTTAATATACTATTTCAATTCCTTTTATTATTTGACATTTTACAATATATAATAAAATGATATTATGATGTTTGATAAACGTGTATGAAACAAATGTTATGTAAAGGAAATGCAGTTAGGTGTGTATGAAATGAAATGTAAAAATTAGAATTATACGCGATATTTGGTCTACTCATATTCTTAATTGTTCAGGCTAATGATTTGAATTACGCTAATTAATTATGTCAAGTCAATTTTCGATAAGTGCATTTTACTGCAGATAAACACAATAATACGTTCGTATTTTAATTGTGAGTTTTACTCGATATCTTGGAACGGCAATTAACAGTCGTTTTTCAATCGACAGAGTTCAATGATAGAAACAGCTATATTCTGTATTCTTTATCTTTAATTATCTGACACGTCTTTTTTATGGCTTAGGACTTTTATTTTCAGAATATTTCTGAACTTTTAGTGATAATTTCATCTTTCAATGTTTATGGGATGTTTATATAAAATTCGGATCTGTCGTCGTGCGTAATAACTTGATAGAAATTCCAGCATTCCCTTGCAGCCAAATCTGGTCGCAAACATGTTTCAATAACAAAACAACAACAACAACAACAATAATAATAGTAATAATAATAATAATAATAATAATAATAATAATAATAATAACAATATCCGGTCAGATGATAGATTGCTAAGGCAGTAGTGTCATAGTGGTCTCGGATCATAAATTGGGAGTTCGGTTCGAGTCCCGGCTCGGGCATGGCTTTATTTATCTGTATTGCATTTAACTGTAGAGTGTGCCGTTCTTTCAACACTGACTATCAGTATCATGTGATCTTCCATACATCCAGAATGAACAACCTTGAGAATAAGAATTGTATCCAGCTAAATGCTTATTCCCTGATAAAGTTACATGCACCTGCCACCAAGATAATGGTACTGAGCCCCAGTAAATGCAGTCTGTTTGCGCCCGTGGTCCAAGTCGGCTATATAGATACATATCTAACCTTAGAGTGTTATTCAAAGATACAATTATTAAATAAAATCCACCTTACACCCGGCCTCACGATAACGAAAAAAAACAGCTTTTGTCTTAAAACCAGGAAAACAAAAGAAGGCTTCAAACTCTTTAAATTTTGTTTTATATCTCAGTGTATTACATTTGCTAACATTTACTGGAAAGTTATTCCACCCTGGTCTTTGCTACTACGTAAGATTTATTGTACAAATTCGTGTTACATTTAGAAATAACTTCTTGGTGCTCCGGGTGACCGCGTCGTTGGCTGAGAGGCCGACGTTTCTCCTGTCATGTCGCAGGCTTCCTCAGGGCAATGCCACGCGTGTCGGCCTGTCAGCCAACGACACGACGTCACCCGGACATCCAAGAGGTCAAGAACTCGAGTCGCGGAAGCTTACACATTAGGAATATTGCATATTAAGGATTTCTGTAACCTTCTCTTATTGAGATAAGAAATCTTATGAGTGAAGTATGTAGGTATTGCAATTTGCAATTTGTATATAAAAAATCGCTCATTATATTATTTGTGATGAATTTTGTCTCTTTGAAATAATTATAAAAGTGATATTGTGACCAATTACATAGTGCCGCTCACGAGAGGCAGGCACCACAAAATTGAAACGCCCGCGCGATTGCCGCCTAGAGGTGGACAACGCCATCTAGGCTAGCGAGTTCTGAACTCACGCCGGCCACTGATTCCAAAAAATAAACATTGAGAGTCGGTTGGTGAGGCGAGTGCGTGCGTGGGGACAAATGGATTCGGCTAGTGAGATTTGAAGTAAACGGACGGCGGTGTGTGAAGCTGGGAGACTTAACTGGGCCCTGTCGTGAGGCGTCGAGGTAGAGGCCACACGAGGTAGTTGGTTCCTTCGCTGCAACGCGACCCGTGACCTTACGCGGGAGGAGGTAAACGTTTTTCAGATTCTGCCGCGGGGCAGAATCCCCGGCCAGCTATCACACCGAACCGGTCGCGCCGAACGAGTGCACAATTTTTTTTTTTTTAATTTATTTCTTCTCGTTCGACCAAAGGTCTTTCGAGGGGTTTCGGTTTTACA